TCTTGGACCACCTTTTTCTCTGGTTGTTTTTATTTTTATTTTTTTTGAAAGGAGGATGTAGTGCACACAATGCTCAGAGGTTACTCCTGGCTCTACACTCAGGGTTCGTTCCTGGTGGTGCTTGGGTACCATATGGGATGCTGGAGAATTGAACCCGACATGGACATGTGCAAGGCAAGCACCTTACCTGTTGTGCTATCTTTGCAGCCCCAAACCATCTTTCTCTTTTATAGATTTTTTTCTTATCAAAATGAATACTCACCTTTATCAATTATATTCCCAAACTCCTAGGTCGTGCCTCATTTACCTGCCTGCCTTTTTGCCTTACTACGTGATCCTTTTGCTTTCAGGCTATGTGATTTCTTTTGCTCCCTGTAACTTTCATCTTTATTAGCCATGACCATCATTTGTGTGTTATATTTGTATCAAAAAATAGTTTTGTATAGAAAACTGGATACCTGATGAAAACAACAGTGGATGAAGATAGAGTTTCATCATAGTTGAGAACACAAATTTAGTTTAAATCATAATTCTGAAATTTACTATTTTTATGACATTAAAAGAAATAAGTTTCTCAGGTTACAGTGTTTCACCTAAGTGCATTATATTATGAGACTAAGAAATTATAGAATGCTTTCCAGTGCCCTATTTATGTGTGAAGAATCATAAACAGTAATTGTTTGAACTGCTTTAGCATCTCATTGTTGATGTGTTAAGGCTGCATGCTAAAAACTTCAGAGATTAGAAGTGACACATGAATCGACTAGAAAGATAGAAGGTACAGTAGTGCTTGCCTTGCATACAGCTGACCCGTGTTCAGTCTCTGGCACCACATCTGTTCTTCTAAGCATTGCTTGGTATAATCCAAAGGCAAACAAACAAGCAAACAAAAAATTATAAGTGGTATATAAGGTGTTCTATGTAATTTCTCCAGGCCATTTAAGTTCTTCAGAAATAGGTGAAAACCTCCAAATATAATTCCATACCAAGTCATATAAATCCATATCACCTTAGATTTCTATTGGAGGGGAAAACATCAGGTTTGAATCTCTGCTAAATATTATATCAAAGGCTTCATCAAAGAATCATTGCTTTGCTTTATCTGAATTCATGGGTAAAAATTTCCACTCTGTCCCCATCACCACTTCTCTTACCAGCACACACGCACTGCTTTTCTTAGAAGGAGATCATAAAATAACTTTTGTTCCGGAGAAATGTTCATATTATTTTATTTTGTACTTAAGTGAGATTGATAGTTCAACTATTAAAAAAATCATCAGGGCTGAAGCAATAGCATAGTGGGTGGGACATTTGCCTTGCACGAAGCTGACCCAGGTTCCATTCTCAACATCCCATATGGTCCCCTGAGCACTGCCAGGGGTACTTCCTGAGTGCATGAGCCAGGAGTAACCCCTGTGCATCGCCGGGTGTGATCCAAAAAGAAAAAAATAATCCTCAAAGTTAGTGCCTCAAAATGTTTCAGATGGTAAAATCTTCGTTCCCCTAGTTAGGGGAGAAGAAAAATGAAAACCAGGTTGGTAGCAGTGACTATTCATTATTGGAGTATGTTTTTTTTTTTTGTTATAACAAAAAAAAAAAACTGGCCCAAAGGGAGGGAAATCTTTTATTCATGGTTCTGTTGAGAACATGATACAGACTTAACTCCAAGCAAAAGTAGAGCTAGATTAGGGGTTACTCATGCTTGAGAGCCAGGCAACTAGTTAGAATTTGGAGGCAGAGTAGGAAGGTTGGGAACTGGGGGGGAGGAGAAGGGAAGCATGGGAGTCAGAGGAGTGTAATACAAAATTTGTCTATAGAGAAAATATTCTGTTTTCATTTTGACTTGGGTCCACACCTCTCTGTATTCAGGACGTCATTCCTGATGTTCTCAGTAGACCATATGCAGTAAGCAGCAAAGATCAAATGGGGATCAGCCACATGTTGACAGTAAGCAAGGGCCTTACTTCTTTTACTCTCTCTCTGATTAAGGGGACCAAAATTCATGTGAACAGATAGGTCATTATCAGCCGCAGGCAGGCTCTAGCTCCCAAATAAATGATATAAAAAATAGTTGGACAGTGTCAGAGATGTGATTGCATGAGTCTTTAATCAAACAGGAAGTGATAGATGGAGTGTTAGTCAAGCTTGCAATAAAAGACTAATAATAAGGGGAATTTGGCGTGCTATGAATTATACAGTGACTTGTATGTCCTAGATGAGAATCCAAGAAAGTATACAACCAAGGGGAGGGGGCAATAATCAAAGATTTTGGAACAATGGATGAATTTTCTGAAGTAGCAACTGAAGTGTACAAGTTTATGCACTTTTCTATGTGAAGTATTTTGCAGTTACAAGAGAAAGCGTTTGAAATTAGAATGTTAAAAGAGAATTATAGAGGCTATTTTTGTGCTTATTGGCCCTTTTTTACTCTGCAGGTGTGCTAGTGAGAACATTGTGTAATATTTCAATTATGTTGCTCTAAATATGTTGAATAGTCTTTAAAAACATTTATTATTAAAAAATTTTAATATATTTTGTGAATCACACCATGAATACCAAAGGGATTCTGTGAAAAACACAGCTGCCTGTTACAAGAATACTAGTCTTGAAAATAAAACAAGTTTTAAAGGCATAAATACCACTGGAATTTTGAAATTTATACTAACCTATATTAGGTCTATATTTGTTATAAACTTTTTCTCAAATTTTTAGTGAAAGCTGTAACACTGCAATAGATAATTTAAAGTAAAAATTTCTAAAACATAACAAAAAACCATACTTCAATAATGATATCTATTAATCTTATGAGGTATCTCCTTCTAGGTGTTGTTCTGTATGGAGGTTTTTTTTAACCCAAATGATATTACTTTATACATTTTAATAAACTCTTTTTAGAGTAGTTTTATAGGTTCACAGTAATATATAGAGGAAGATACAAATATTTCCTTTGCCCCCCGCACATGCAAAATTGCCCTGGTCTCATTATCAACATCATTCACCAGATTTGCACTTTTTTTTTTGCCAAGGATGAGCCGAAAATTATTATCACCCAAAGGTCATAGTTTTGCCTTTTTCATGTCATATAGCTGAAATCATAGAGTAAGTAACCTCAGATTGTCTTCTTTTACTCAATGATATGTATTAAAGCTTCTGGCCATGTTGTTTCATCACTTGATAGCTCATTTCTTTTATCACTAAATAGTATTCAATTTTATCTGAAAGTACCAGTTTATAATATATTTACCTACTAAAGGACATTTTGGTCACTCTCATATATAAATATAGGGGTGAAGGATTAGGCCACACCTGGAGATGCTCAAGGACATAGTCTCTGTGCTCAGGAATAATCCCCTGGTGATACTCTGGGTACCATATGTTGTGCTGGTATGAAATCAGGGTCTCCACCAAAGTGTCTGCATGCAAGGCAAGTGCCTTACCCCCTGTACTATTTATTGCTCCATACACACACATGCACACACACATACACACACACGCGTGTGTGTGTTTATTTATATATATATAATCTACTTTTATCCATTAATTCATTCTAGCCTATATATGATCTCATCTAGAATTTAGTCTATATATAAATTTTAATATAAATCTATATATTTAAACATATATATGTATATTTGTGATATATATATATATCCTTTTCAGCAAGTTTGTCCAAGTCTAGAACCATGCATTGATTCTGACCAGCTGTCTCTTAATTGTTGCTTAGTGTTGAACAATTTCCTTTTCTTGCAACACTTTCTTGAAGAACAAAGTCACGCATTGTCTGGAAAGTGTTGTTTCCTGGTGTTGTCTAGTAGTTGCCTCATGTTGGTTGGTTAACTTGTTTCTCTGTCCTTGGTATTTTCTGTGATGGTCAACTTTGAACTGATTGTGATGGATTCACTTCACTATCTTTGGTAACAAGGCACTATAGAGATGTTTCTGTACATTGTCTGGCTCCAGTGTTGTGATAGCACTATTTCTCACAGACAGCTATTTCTGTCCTCCTGCTCGTCGGAAGTAATCTGGGTGCTGCTTCTTTGTATTCATATAAATGTCCAATCTGTTTCCATTAAATCTTTGTTTCCATAAATACCCAGCAATTTTTCTACAGACTTCAGCACAGAGATAACCCTCCAAAAGAAATAATCATATTAAAGTTCTAAAACTGTGATTCTAAATCTTTCATTTCTTTTTTATTTGTTAACCACCATTTTCTCTGAGAAAATTTCTGTCACACAGTGGGATTAGGATTACCCTAAAATAAAATTTCATATAATTTCCAATTTGCAGAGTACACAGTTGCCTACGCTAAGATGTTGGGAGTACTTTTTAAAATGCTGTGGGGAAAGATAGGGATTGGGGAAAGGAAGAGGATCAGAAATGATTTAAGGACAGTTTTGGAGGATCTTGGGCACTTTGGTGATGAAAGTGAGGTAATTTTGTACATCAGAACAATAAATATTGACATTATTGTAACCATGTTACCTAGACAATGATAATTTTTTAATTGAGGGGAGAAATTTTTTGGTCCCTTAAAACTGATTTTTCTAGCATTTCCAGAATATTGTGCACCATGTGAGAAAGATTATGTAATTTAATTATTTTATGTTGGTTTGTTTGTAGGTCTCAACAGAACTCAGAGGATACTGTGGGGCACCAGGAATTTACTCAAATTAGCTGCCTGTATGGCAAGCACTGTACTCATAATTCCAGCCCTACTTTGAGGTTATATACATAGAAAAGGAAAATTTTGGGTGTTTAAATAATGAAATTACTCTTATAGAAAGTGACATTTCTTGAATTCAAACTCAAATTGGGCTGAGTTCAGAATCCATGTCTAATTCCTTATATATATATATATGTTCGTTGCATTTTGCTTAAGATCTCAATTCTATCTGTAACGGTATTTTGAATGTTTCTTATTTTATACACATAGAGATGGAAGTTATACTTAATATTCTTCATGTGTTCTCCCCCCTTTTAAAAAATATTTTTAACAGTGTGAAGAAAACACGAATCTTCAGGATACTTCCCGCTACCTCAAACTACCCTTTTCCAAGGGTCTTTTCCTTGGGAATAATAATCAAGCAATGAAGGCCACAAAGGAGTCTTTTTGGATAACATCTTTCCTCTGTTCCACAAAACTGACACAAAATGGTAATGTACCATATTATCTTCTCTGAAAACTTCGTATTGAAGGACCTGTGACTTTTGGTAGATTTATTCATTAAATAGCAGTATTACATCTAAGAAGCATGCTCCAAATCACTGCTATTGATCATTCTGCTTCTGATTCTCAATCAAAGGGAAACCATTGTGACCCAGTGAGCTGTTAAGTGCAAGTAATTTAAGAACTTCAGAATTATCACAGTATTGGAACAAGTATATAGATTCTCATGTAAACCATCAAAACTTTTGTTTTGCTTCAGAAAAATGAGTGAGCTGGAGAGATGGCTCAGAAGGCTAGTGTATATTTTTTGCTGGTGAAGGACTGGGTACAATCATCAGGACTTCTGTGTCCTCTAAGTATTGCTGAAAGTGATCCGTTAGCACCTGAATGGTCCCTGAGCACTTTTAGGTTTGGCCCCCCCAAAACAAACAAACCAAAATTAAATAAAAAACAGAAAAAGGGAGAGAGAGAGACACACACACACACAGAGACAGAGGCAGAGAGAGACAGAGACAGTGAGAGAGAGAGAGAGAGAGAGAGAGAGAGAGAGAGAGAGAGAACACTGTGTTTATCTCGTGTTTTACAACTCCATAGTCAGTGCTTATTACAGGTTTTAGAATAAAGGGTGTTTTTTTGTTTAATTAGATGGATATTGCTTTTCTAGTCTAATATTACTTTTTGTGTCAGTGATTGTTTAGCAAGTTATGATTAACAAAGCGAATTGTCATGAAAACATCATCTATAATGAAGGAAGCAAATTAAACATTTTTCAAGTTCACAAAAGGATGCTTCCCGTACAGGGCATCTGAGTAGCATTCTGAATGCTATGCTAATAAGTCAGGACTCAATATGTAGAAAAGAATCACTTCACGGTAAGGTATTATGTCTCATTAAATCTGCCTTTGCCTAACATTTGTGTCATTAGCTCTTTCTTCTGTGATAGAATGGCATTTGTTGAAGGAAGTTTTTTTTTTCTTCTCAGAGAATTTGATATCAGAAAAGAGTCAAATTGTAGCAGTGCAATATTGACCACTTTTGAAAATTGCTATTTCTTATGCCACACTCTTCTGTTGATATGAACTTAAGCAAATAATTCTTTCATTTTTATACTATGTGTGCTTCTCCCTTTCTAATGTATTTTTGCAGGAAGTTTCTTTGGGGAGCCCACCAGGGCCCCAGAGGTGTCCCTCTCTGCATGCCTTTATAGTCCATAATGTTCCGTGGTTCGGTCTGGTTAGGTCCAGCATGCTGCCGTCTGCAGAAAATAAAGAAAAATTTTAAAAGTTCCTTTTTTAGTAAATTTGAAGGCAGGGGGGTTGGATCACACCTGGTGATGATCAGGGGTTACTCTTGGCTCTGCACTCAAGAATTACTCCTGGCGGGGCTTGGAGGACCATATGGGATGCCAGGGATAGGTTTTATCAGTATTCAGTGACTAATGATTTTACTTTAATAGAACCTCCCTTAATATGTTTATAACTAATCTAAAGCTTTGCCAATCCTTGGGTCTGTCTATTCCATTATACTTCCTAAATCCCCTTTTATCCAATACCCCCAGTAAATATTTTAAGGAATATTTATTATTATTGCCATATGATTATTACAAATGTTTTGGCTTAAAACAATAAAAACATATTATCTTACAATTCTTGAGGTCTAAAGACTACAGTCAGTTTCACTGGACTAAAATCAAGGTTTTTATAGGGCTGGATTCTTCTTGGAAGCTCTCAGGGTGTATCTTTTTCCTTACCTCTTCTAGGATCTATGGGCCTTCATCATTTGTTGGCTTACAGCTCCTCCCTCTGTTTTTAAAATCAGCTATAGAGCATGTTCAGATTTCTTGTACTAACCATCTTTCATCTTTTAAGAACTTGTGATCATGTTGCATCTAATGGGTAACCCAGAATAATTTTTCCATCTTCAAATAGTTAATCACATCAGTAGAATTTCTTTTTCCAAAGATGATAAGCATATTTCCAGCTTCGAGGGTTCCTTCATTTGTTGTAGTTCTAGGATTTAAGACATTAGACAGAATTGTGAAGACAGAGATAACCAATGGACTGTGGACATCACTTGAGGGAAGAGCACTTTTCTTGTGTGTGTGAAACCCTGCTTTGGATGCTGGTACTGAAAAACAAAACAAGCCAATGTAGAGAGTCAAATTATGAAAAATGGCAAGCTGCTGCTTGCTAAGAGAAGAGAAAAGTTTTAGATAAACTGCCATAAAATATTAAACATCTCATTATATGCTCATGGCTCATTTTTGGAGACTGATAAGGCTTAATTATCATTTTGACTTTGATTAACCTTGTTGGTCTCAGACATCTCAAAATGAGTCAGGAAATGAATAGTGTATTTCAACGAGATGGGAAGGAGGAAGTTGATCATTCTGAGATTAACATTCTAGACACATATCTCTGTGTAGAGATAATCCCTTTCCAAATTGGAGTAAAATATTTTGTATTCATTTTATTCAGCTTGGAAAATACACTGGTCTCATTTCCATTGCACTTGTGCAGTTTAGTAAGTGTTGTGGTCTGTCGAAACAGTTTCCTTGAGCAGATTTGCTTTTCAATATCCCTGTAGTATGTCTGTGCCGATGTTCTCCATTATAAAGCCGCATTCATGGATAGTGTACCAACAACAGAAGACTTTGCTGCATCGTTTTTATTGTCAGATTAAGTGATGTGTTAAGCTTCTTCAGAGTAGGGATGGTAGAAGAAACCATTTTACTTGTTAGCTTCCTTGGACTATTGTACACAACTTAAGAATATTTTTTATTGGGGCTGGAGTAATGGCACAGCAGGTAGGGCATTTGCCGACCCAGGTTTGATTCCCAGCATTCCATATCATCCCCTGAGCACCACCAGGAATAATACCTGAGTACATAAATCAGGAGTAACCCCTGTGCATCGCTGGGTATGACCCAAAAAGCAAAAATATATACATATATATTTTTTATTTAAATAAAGAACTGTGATATACAACATCATGGATAGTTGAGTCTTAGGCATACAATATTCCAACATTAATCCCAATAATAGTGTTGGCTTCCCCCCAGTGGTGTCCCCATGCTCGCCACCCACAGCCATCTGCCTGCCACCATGGCAGACACACTATAAAGTTCAGTAGCCATTGTTTAGACTTCATGACTTCAGTTATACAACTTTTTTTAAGTCAAAAAGAAGTTTAGGGGCTGAAAAGATAGTAAGGCACTTTCCTTGCACACAACCAACCCAGGTTTGATCCATGACAATACATATGGTTCCCTAAATGTCACCAGTAGTTATCTCTGAGCACAGAGCCAGGGGTATGCCCTGAGTGCCACTGGGTTTGGCCCCAAAAAGAAAAAGAAAAAAATAAGAAATAATGCCTTAATTTAATCTAAAATTTATTCAGTTAATGATTTCCCCACATATCCTTCTTCACCAAATAATGGCTAATTCAGTCAATCTCTTCCCAAGATTGTAACTTTAAAATAAAAACAATAAGGAACATGTCATAGAGCCATTTTATACCTCTTCTATCTTATAGTCATACTTTTAAACATTAAACAAATATTTATTGAGTGGAATATATAAAACTACATTTTCAATAGTAAGTTCTAATTTCTAATTTGCAATTAAACTATCTTCAAATGGTTAAAATTAAGAATTAAGAGGAAAGCTTTGACTTAGCCTGAGTATAATGATCATTCACAAACATTCTTAACTGGATAAATAGAGCAATGATCATTCAAAAACAGTTTTGTAACTGTAAAACATTTTGACTGATATACTAGTTTATTTTTCTTTTTATTTTCTTTTTTTGTTTGTTTGTTTTGTTTTTTGGGTCACACCTGGCAATGCACAGGGACTACTCCTGGCTCATGCACTCAGGAGGTGCTCGGGAGACCATATGGGATGTTGGGAATCGAACCTGGGTCGGCCACATGCAAGGCAAATGCCCTACCTGCTGTGCTATTGCTCTAGCCCCTGCTAGTTTATTTTTTCTTTGCTCTCTTGTCAGTTGGATAAAGATTCCCACTCATAACAGAACAAAAGAACATTTTTTTCAGGACTTCTCTCAGGAAAGATTTGTTTTGTCACCTGTGGTCCCTCTGCTTATAACAGCTCTGTTCCAGTTACTCGCCATCTTTGGGGATACCACTGCTGGTGGTGACCAGCACAGTTATCTATGTCCTCTGCAGTCACCAGCCTGTTGGGCCTGGATTCCTCAGCTATGGCCTCAAGCTCAACAGGCAAGCAAATAGAGTGAGCCAGGAACCAGATGGAGCGAGAGCTGGAATGGAGGTGGAGTAGGAAGTGAAGCGTGAATAGCAGGGAAGGTGCATTGAGAATGATAAATGAGAAGATGCTCGGGAAGGGAAGCATCCTGAAGTCAGAGGCAGGAAGCGGGAAGTAGGTGGGAAGGAGGCCGCAAACAGACAGGAGGAATAATGGAGTTCTGCCTCTGCCACTGCAGGTCTCACTCTGGAAATCACTCAAATTCTATATATAACCAATCAGTTCTTTTAAAGTTTCAATCTTACCTCTAGGATATCTGAGTTACATAGGAATATTGAACATATTCAGGGGGATTGTTATGAAGATATCATGTCTCTTTCAAATTCAGTGTTTTTTTTTTAAAAAAATCCTTATTTTAATCTTTCAAATCATCCTCTTTTCATTTTTAGCAGATTACTCTTAATAAGCTCGAGCGGGCACCAGTAACGTCTCACAACAAATTGTGAGAGTTGTTGTTACTGTTTTTGGCGCCCGCTTGAGCAAATCGATGAACAATGGGAGGACAGTGCTACAGTGCTACTCTTAACAAGTAACACAAAGTAAATTATTTCGGATCTGCCTTTGGAGCAGGCATGGGTGGTGGTGGGAAAATTTGAAATAATGGTGTTGGTAAGGTTTAATGGTGGTGGGTTTGGTGTTAGTATTTTGAATGTAATAAATAAACAAAAGACACAAAAAACATTTTCTTCATCTTTTCTCTGTGTGTTTTAGGTAAGCATTCTTATTTAGTACAAAATTTCTTCCTGTTAAACAAGTTGTGAAGTTTTTCATTGAATCTGACTTTGGTAGAAGTTGCTTCTTTCCTCTTGAGCTCACTTGTTTTTCTCATCTCTCCTCATTGTTGCATGCTTTCTTTCTCTTTATAACTGCTTTATCGGTTTCTTAATTTTCTTTATTTTCATTTTTGTTCTTTTTGTGTGTGTTGATATTTTTTTTCTCTCAGCCAGTTCCATTTGAGATTCTCCTTTACCAAGTACCTTAAAGTGGATTTCATTGTTTAACCTAAAAAAATAAAAACAACAAACCAACCAACAAAAACCCAGGCTTGTTTCCTGACCTTTCTCATTTCGCAGTCCAGAATGTTGGACTGCTGGTATCCCTGCCCTATGCACTTCCCATGTGCTCTAGTCTAGATGGTTCTTACCACTTTCATTGACCCCCTAGACACAACCTGTTCTTCTCTTTTTTGAGACTACTGAAGTCTTGATGCATGTTCATGAGCCCTTGGTTCAAGAAAATTAAGGGAGACATTGACTCATTACCTCTTCAGCAGCTCTGCTTACCCTCAGTGTCCACTCGCAAGTTGAGTAAGAGGAGACAATTGAAAAGCTTGGTCATGTACTTGACCAGAATCTCGATAGGTGATCATGGGTTCTAAGACCTGGTGTTCTGAAGTCTAAGGACTTCCTATGATCACTGAGCAAGCTTATCATTGTGCAGACATGTTAGAGTCCTGCCATGTGTGGGTAACATTGTCAATGCCTTCATTGACAGGTGAATTATTTGCTATGCAGAGTACTATGTGCTGAAGGTAGAGCACAAAGGAAGATCCCAATTATCAAAAAACTCCTGTTGTTCTGAGAGAAGATGCAAAATTATTCATCAAGTATCAATCAGATACCTTCAGTGTGCCTGCTTTGTTCTATATGCCAGAAATATGATAGAATCAAGTTTGGCATCAGTTCTCTGTCTCTCTTCTATCTGTCCTGTCTCTCTGTCTCTTTCTCTCTCTCTCTCTCTCTCTCTCTCTCTCTCTCTCTCTCTCTCTTCCTCACTTTCTTTCTCATAGAGTGTACATATAGTCTCTGAGGACAGAGATAAACACTATCATAAATAAATGGTGGAAACTCATTGCAGAGACACCTCAAACTCAGGATTTCAGAAAAGAAAAGATTTCCTGGATGCGGTAAAATCTAACCTCTAACAACTGATAAAATGACTTATAAACTGAGGAGTTTATGAGTCAAGGCCCTGGGAAGATAGCAGAATTAGAATGTCCTGTTTGCTGTGCCAGGTTAGAGACTTCATCACAATCTATGATTTGAGTGACCAAGAGGGGTATTGAGAGTGTATTGATGAACACAGCTTTTTCCAATAGAACTCATTCATGTGGAAATCTGTTCTGCTAGAGCAATGAATCTTTTTTGTTTTTTTCTCTTTGGAAAGGTGATATGCTTGATCTTTTGAAATGGAGAACCCACCCAGACAAGATCACAGGCTGTCTATCAAAATTAAAAGAAATTGATGGCTCCGAGATAGTAAAGGTATATGTTGTTTTGACAGCTTTCTCTTGGAAACTATTGGGATTAAAAAGACTGGAGCTAATAGTACATTCATTCATTTGCTTTTTCTTCAACAGTTTCTTCAAGATACACTGGATACCTTATTTGGAATTTTAGATGAAAATTCCCAAAAATATGGGTCTAAAGTATTTGATTCCCTGGTGAGTTTGAATTTCTTTACATCATAAAAATTTGGTTTCTCACTTTTGCCTTTGATAATGGTTTTCAGAAATGTGCATTTAATAACATGAGAGTTCACTTTAAAAAGAACCCCTTCCCAAAAAATCTTGGTTTGCTTTTGGTTTATAATGCTCAATTTTTCCTTTTAGGTTCATATAATAAATTTACTTCAAGATAGCAAATTTCATCACTTTAAACCTGTAATGGATACTTACATTGAGAGTCACTTTGCCGGAGCACTTGCATACAGGTAAGGCCCTTTATCTTGTAATTGGGTTAGAAGCAGTTTCTTTGGAGCTTTTCTAAGCAGAACCAGCTATATAGGAAAATTTCAAAGCGAGTAAGGGAAGAAATGAAGCACAGCAAGTGAAGTGTCTCTTGAGACAGTTGCTTCTCTTCTCTCGTGCCCTATTTTAATGGGTAGAAGTTATTTTGATTACAAAAAGAATTGGGAGGTGGGATGGAGAGAAGCTTCTTGAATTCTATTCCTGAGACTAAAATGTGTTTTGTTTTTTCCCCCATCTCAATTTCGCTTGATAGCCTTTGGTCTTAAATATTTAATTATTTCTATTTGGCTACCAAGGTCCAAATCAGCATACATACTTCTTGATGAGTCTTGGTGTTGTTAAGAAAGAAACATGAAGGAAAACAGCCTTTGCCATTCTACCGTTTTAAAATCATTTATTTTGCTATTACTACTGAGTGCCTACTGCATACCAGGCACTATATTTTGTGCTGATATTGGGGAGACGGAGTCTCTGGTAATCAGCAGTGTAGCCCTTGGTCTCTGGCCTGTGATATTTGCTGCATTTTAACTGGTCCTCCTTTTCTTTCAGCACAGATTATGCAAGCCAGGGTAAAAGTAAATGAATAACGACATGCTTTAGAAAGTGCCTACCCCCATACATGCCTCGAGAATAACTGTCAGCAAGCAGCCACTTCTCTTTCTGTCACATGCAGGACATCTTTTCAGTCTTGAGCCTAGCTGAAAAACAACTCTGAAATGTACCCCACTGTTCTGTCCCAGTTCCAATACTGTCTTTGCTATTCTCACCTCATTTTAATGTAAATATCTTAACATATGTAAATATGCTTAATCATATGCCCTCAAGGTGTGCTAAAAAAAGTGTAGCACAATGGAGAGGGCACTTGCCTTGCATGCAGCCAACCCCAAATCAATCCCTGGCATCCCCTGTAGTCCCCCAAGCCTCGCCAGGAGTAATTCCTGAGTGCAGAGCCAGGAGAAAGTCCTGAGCACCACCAGGTGTGGCCCAGAAAGAAAACTAAAAAATGTATAGAATTTTGGGCTAAAGAAAAGCGTACAACAGACCCAGGTTCAATCCCTGGGACCATGTATCATTCCCTGAGCTCTGCTAGGTATAATCTCTGAATACTGAGCCAGGAGTAATTTCTGAGTACATCTAATGTAGCACCACCAACTCTCCCCCTACCCTCCAAAAAGCATAGCATTTTTATCTCTTCCCCTCTCCATCATGGGGTATTTAATGGGTATTAGGTAAAAAAAAAATTTGTTGTTTTCTTAATTTGAGTATTTTTATTACAACACATTAAGATTTATGTCTTGATCATTTACACCAATGAAGTTATCTTTGCAAAACTGAACCATAGCCGACACGATTTTCTTGGAGAGGATGAGCTGTAACAGCAGGAAGGTCTTTGAAATATTGGCCTAGCTCTGCCTAGTGATCTGGGCCTTTGTGGGAGAGGCTCATGACCTTTTACTCACAGCAAAGTAGGATAATCAATCCAAACAAGACAAATAAGGCCAATGGAATCTTCTTGAACTGTGGGCTGTCAAAAACTTATTGACAGATTATCCTCAGAACAGTTCTTCAAGCTGCATCTTACCTGCTGGCACTTTCTTGCATTCTTACCTAACTGAGGGAAAACTGTCACATCCTAAAAATTACCATTTTCTAGAAACCCAAAACTAGCCCAATGAATGTATCAATACTATAATTTTGGAGGGGTGGGAATGGTAATTCAAATATTATTGCTTTTTTTTTAAAAAAAAATGACCATTCCATAAATTATCCTATGAAGATAGTTTGTACAGTGAACTTTGTTCTTCCTAAAGATCAGAGAGGAACCCATAGGAGTGTGGTTTGAAGTGGAAGGTGATGCTTCATCCAACCATAACACTCTCTTACTCTCAGGTATTTGCATGGTCCCTGGAAGGAAAAACATCCCAATTAGCAGCTGCCTAAGGTTATCCAGGTTCTTCCCTTTCTCTGATTTTTGTGTTCAAGTATGCAGAACATAGCCAGTGAAATATTTCGTGACGGAGAGAACTGTAAATGGGAGCAAGTAAGGTTTCTCCATGTAGTGTCAAAAAGGGGAGTGATGTTGATGTTCTGAGTTTGTAAAATGATCATATTACAGAAGTTTTACAGGAAAAAAAATGTGGAACTAATGGGAATGGAAACCTCCTCACGATAAAAACCTCCTCACGTGTTTGGTTTATTGGCTCTTTACTGAGAATTCCACCGATTTCACCTTTGACATATTTCTTTCCACTATTTAGAGATCTCATCAAAGTGCTCAAGTGGTACGTGGACAGGATAACAGAAGCAGAACGGCAGGAACACATCCAGGAGGTGTTGAAGGTAGGAACACACTGTCATGATCTCACAGAGCCACAGAGCTGGTGCACAGCAATGCCTAAACTAATTGGTTTCCTCTGCACCACCGCTAATTGGTGATGATCCATTACTGACACTCCAGTTCAAGGATCTAAATACATTTCTGACTGTGCCAGAGCTGATGAAATGTGGACAGAGCTCTTCCAGTCTCGCCTACTGGCATCTGCTCAGGATTGAACCATAACACATCTGGGATCTGGGATATATGATTTTCAGCACTGACAGGAGGGAGGGTTTCAAAGAGAAAAACTCAAGATGGGCGGTTAAGCAGAAAGTTCCTCACTGTGCTTCCACCACCCTCGCAGAAGCCTTCTGAGAAATACTTGTTTTAAATTTTGTAAAAGAATTGGATGACTTAGACGGGATTACTACTAGGAAACCTGAGATTTTACTCATATCAATAGGAGTCTCACATTTACACCTTGCCCACTTCTTTGAGGTCTGGGTGCTTAGTTGTATAAAGATGTGCTGATACCTTAAAAAAATAAAATGCAGATTCTTTTTTTTAAATTTTATTGAATTACCATGAGATAGTTACAAGCTCTCATGTTTGGGTTACAGTCACACAATGATCAAACATCCATCCCTCCACCAGTGCACATTCCCCACCACCAATATCCCCAGTATACTCGCCCGTTCCTAACCTCCCCCTGCCTCCATGGCAGACAATATTCCCCATACTCTCTCCCTACTTTTGGAAAATGCATATTCTTAAAAGTGTTCTTCACTGATTGACCTTAGGTAATCTTCTAATTCCTGTTGTTGATTCCAGCAGACCCTAGTTTAATTTGATATCAGTAGATAAAAGTTAACACCTACATTTTTTTAAAATAAGCATTTTCTCGTTTATATATTTACAATTTTTTAGTATTTAAGGATATTTATTAAGCCTAGAATTCTATAATTCAAATTATGTTTCTTTGCCCACTCATCAATTTTTTTATTTAAGAATAAGGATCTAAATACATTTTAGCTGACATTCTGAATTCTTCCATGGTCAAGAATTACAAAATTTCATCATTTTGGTCTGATTCAGGGTAAAATGCTAGATGGCAAGAGTATCTATCTTCAATGCAAAATCATTTTTGAAAAGCAGATAATTGTCTTAGTAGGATAAATTTAAAAAAAAAATCAGAATCTGAAATATGTAATTTTCACAACTGATGGGAATTCATTAAAATTTTTTAATTAACTACATATTTTCTCTCATTAGGCATCTTCTTCCACAAGTAAATACTGCTCAAAAATCTTAAGTGTCTTACTGTTTATGTCCGTAACTAAAATTGTAATGTAAGACTGAGCAATAGCATTTACCTTGCACATGGCCAGACATTTGCATATGGTGCCCTGAGCATTGCCAGGGATGGCCGCCAAACAAAAACAAACAATAAAGTAGTTTTGTGTCATTATTTTTATGCTTGTCATTGTTAAATAAGTACTCTTGGTATTTGTTGAAACTTATTTTTGAAATTTTTGTTTTAAGGCTCAAGAGTATATTTTTAAGTATATAGTTCAGTCTCGGAGGCTTTTCTCCCTTGCCACTGGTGGACAAAATGAAGAGGAGTTCCGCTGCTGCATCCAGGAGCTTCTGATGTCCGTCCGTTTCTTTCTTTCCCAAGAGAGCAAAGGATCTGGAGCATTATCACAATCGCAGGTAACCTATTCCTCTCCACTGGACAAAGGAAAATGAATTCAATCCATTTTTTAAATGATGAAGAGGGGATTAAGTCACAGCCAGCTGTGCTCGGGGCTTACTCCTGGTTCTGTGCTTAGGGCTTCCTCCTGATAATGCTCAGGGGACCATTTGCTGTGTTTCAGGGACCATAGATGGTGTCATAGATTGAACCTGAACCAGACACATGCAAGCCAAGCACTCCATGTACTGTTTCTTGATCTCCAAATTCATTTACTTTTGATGTGACAAGAGAAGTGAATGTGGGGCTGGAGCAATAACACAGCGGGTAGGGCATTTGCCTTGCACCCAGATGACCCGGGTTCGATTCCCAGCATCCCATATGGTCCCCCGTGCACTGCCAGGAGTAATTCCTGAGTGCATGAGCCATGAGTAACCCCTGTGCATTGCTGCATGTGACCCAAAAAGAAAAAGAGAGAGAGAGAGAGAAAGAGAGAGAGAGAGGGGTGAATGTTTTCTGTGAGAAACCCAAAGCTTTCATGGAAATCCAATGAATAGCTCTCGCTTATTCATTGCACCCTATCTGAGTTTCTGAGTACCAGCAGAGCAGAAGAGTTGGGTTGCCGTTGCTCTCCTTGCTCTGAATGGAGAGACTGTTGATTTGTCTGAGTCTCAATTCCAGTTACCAATACACATACTGATGGTTAAGCATATTGTCACCACCAGTCTTGGGGAAGGCATTTCACTAGAATCAATCTCCTTTGTTTTTGTTTGGGGGCCATATGTGGTGTGTGCAAGGGTTACTCCTGACTCTGTAGTCAGGAATTACTCCCATTGGTGCACAGGATGCTGTGGATCAATCCGGGTTGGCCCTGTGCAAGGCAAGCACTCTATCCTTTGTACTAGCATTCAGACCCCTGGTGTCAATCATTTGATATTGTTTCTCCTAAGCCTTGCACTGCATCTTAGTCTGTCTACTTAAGACACAGTATAGGAACTCTGGTAAACCACGTGTTGTTGTTGTTGTTGTTGTTGTTTTTAGCTTTTTGGGTCACACCTGGTAAAGCACAGGGGTTACTCATGTCTCATGCACTCAGGAACTACTCCTGGCAGTGCTTGTAGAACCATATGGGATGCTGGGAATCGAACCCGGGTTGGCCACATGCAAGCAAATGCCCTACCCACTGTGCTATTGCTCCAGCCCCACCACATGTTGTTTTGACTAATTTAACTTTACCCTGTTTGCCCTGAGACTGGTTTTGTATGACTAAATCTTGGCAACTGTTGCCAAACTGTATATTCCTGGGAGTATCTGTATGTGTTTTAAGAGAAGGCTTCATTCACTTTCCAAATAGCATGGCCTAGAACATGCTCTGAGAAGTAATTCTGATTAAATTTATACTTCCTTAATCCTTTGTATACACTTTTTTTATTCTCATGTTGGTTTCATAAGAAAACTGTCAGAGAAGTAACCTCTTTGCTACCATTCACTAAAGACTAGTAATTTAAAATTATTGAGACTCTGAACCTAAAATTGGAGAGAGGAAGACAAAATTAGATTCCTAAGAGCATTGTAATAATTTTCAACTGTTTGATATTTGGAAAACATAATATATCATAGGAAATGTACCTAGACTGGTGCTATTGTTTATTATCCTCTTCTTGTAGAGATAAATTGATCTTCCAAATGTGGAAGGATACACTTCGGACTCTTTTAATGTTATTTTATCCTCTGCATTCGAAGATGTAGTAGATATACTTGCCAGAGACCTCAATTTCAAATTGCCCACTAACCAGCCCTTTCTTTCTGGAACTGAGATTTGAGGAGTATCCAGTAATTAACCATGTTAGATCAGACTCCTTTGATGTTCACTGCTTTTACAAAAGCTGCTGAAAAAGTTGAGTTCTCACTTCAAATTTTTTCTTTTAACCTTTACCAGTTAAAAGATAAAAATTAATATAGTTCGTATCAGAAAAAACATTTTCTCACTTGGGAGTAAGTTATGATTCTTCTTTGAGATGCCTTTAGCATCAAAAGCAGATTCTTTTAGATATTTCTACGTTGGTTTATAGATAAATACCAAAACTCACAAGTTTGATTCTCTCTTTGAACTATTTCCTGGTGGTGTCATTTCCCATTGAATTGCAGCGTATTAGAAATGTCTGTCTCCTGTTCCAAGTAGCTGGCCAACTTTTGTTTCTGTATTTCTTTTGTAAAATTTAAAATATCTGAATTCCTTTTGATGTTTAATCTTATCCCACAGTGCCCCTTTTAAGTATGCCCCTTAGGATTTGATATTAGCATCTGTTTTCCCTTTTAAAAATGCTTGTCAAATTTCTGTATTTACATGATGTTTTTCTTAGTCAGTATATATAGTTCTGGGCTTATTAGTAAATCTTACATCAATCAAAGAGGTCATTGTATGATCTCTATATTCTATAGGTGATAGAAATAGAAACCTCAGGGGTTCAAATGACTTTCCCCAAGTCAGAGTTGATTAGAAGCAAAACTAGAATGAAATAATACGTAGATCACTCAAAAGACCTGCCCTGTTTTTCTTCATAGAAATTTAGTGACTTTAGGGAATCACTAGACTTGGTTTCTGAAATGGATTTAAATGAGCACTTCAAAAAGTTTGTCCAGAAAGAAATGAAATATAAGTGACTTCATTCCAGGTCTTGATTAAGGGTTCTTTCCATTTGATTGTTTTGCTGATTCTATGGGATTGGGAGGGCAGGGGCAACATTATTTTGATAATGTCTGTAATTTTTAGACTTGCCCATTTTTATTATCTAGTACCTTTTTCACATTCCGAAATATGTCCTTTTGTGTATTGTACTAGAGCAACCTTAAATACAAAAGAAGTTTGCATCTCATTTCTCAAGACATACCTGGAAGTTGATTTGCATTTCTTCATTTAGGCTGTGTTTCTGAGCTCATTTCCAGCGGTGTACTCAGAGCTGTTGAAACTCTTTGATGTCCGAGAAGTGGCCAACTTGGTACAGGACACCCTGGGGAGTCTGCCCACCATCGTGCATGTTGATGACTCCCTGCAAGCTGTGAAGTTGCAGTGCATCGGCAAAACCGTGGAGAGCCAGCTTTATACCAACCCAGGTAGGTCGTGAGCCCTTAGACGAAATAGTGACCCCAGAAAGCCATCAGATCTATTTGTAGTCAATGCACAAGTAGCACTGAATTCTTGTGCTCCCACACTGAACCAAATTCCTGGTTGGCTAAGGGACTCTGGGGTTCCTGGGCACTAGGGTCACCTCTCCTCCCACAGACTGACTACACTCATTCTGAAGAAATATTTCTTTTAGTGGTTTTCAAACTCTGCTCCCCAAAATCCTTGAGTTTCTGCTATGGCATCTATGCCTCCACTAGCGTGAGAAACAAGAGGGTGTAAAGGATGAAGAGGTTTAGGCAAAACACCCTTGACAATTCTGCATTTGCCAAATGAAGAAAAGAAGTCCTCCCTGTCTCAATTTAATTGGTTTTATCTGCCCCATCTTTCCTTAAATGACCATGCAAAGAGAACGGATAATTATTATAAGACAGAAGATAAGCTTGTGGGTCTTTGTGAGGAATGATGCAATTATTTATTGGGGTTGGACATGCGAAAACTCAAGCGATACGAGATTTAGGAAATATTGATCCTGGGAGGTAAGTGCTAGTGATCTGCAGGACATTCTGCAGCCACTGTCGGGAGACTGGTGATTGTGGTGTTGTGCTAACCTGTCGAATGAGAAGAAGGGCAAATCTGTCTCTTGTTATAGTGTGCAACCAGAGAGACAGAAGAGCGGGTAAGATATTTGTCTTGCACACAGTGAACCAGATTTGATCCCCTGCACCCACATGGTCCCCCAGTTCTACCAGGAATTGGGCAAAGAGCCTTGGGCAGGCTTACTCAGGTCTTGGAAAAAGAGCCACAAATAAGGCCTGAGCACCACTGGGTGAGATCCAACAAACAAATATTATGCAGAATGCTCCTGTGAAGGACGATCATAGGGAAGCAAAAGTAGCTCCCACTCAATGAATACTTAGAAGCACATGCTGGTGCTCATTAGAGAAAAGATTTTTGGCAGGGTCCCAAGAGGATGAGGCTTGGCTGAATGTGTAATGATTCAGCATTGAGAAAAACAGTGGCTGTCATGTGTAAATGACAAGGCACATCATAAAGGAGACTCTCTTGATGAAGAAAAACAGTCAGTGTTCCTGACAGCTTTCCAAGATGCAACCACCTCGACTTAAATCACGCAAGATCTTGCAACAGTGTTAGGGAAGCCTTAAAAGTGAGTCTAGTGACTGACCATCTGAGTCAGAAGCTGTGTACTTCATGATAGATGGAGCATGTCTGTGCTGTCCTCATGGTAGGAGATGTAGGAGGAAGCACATGTGTGCAACACTACTGTGAGACTCCAGAGAGGGTATCTAAGTTTAGGACAGAGGGTCTTAGACCATGGTTAGAAGCGTGCATTTCCTATCGGGTCATGACACGTCTCACAAAACTGGGAAAAATTTGTTTAACTGCAGGGGGAAGAGAAACAGTGTTAAACTCTGTAGCCCAAAAAATAAAAAAGAAAAGAAAAAGATTCAACAGAGAATTAAACACAAGGGGGTTTCTATGGAGACACAAAAAGGCCTGTAGAGTAGTTTGAGTCTGATTCCGAAGTCCTGAAATCCAGGAGAGCCATAAATTCCAGTCCAGATCTGAAATCACGAGATAACTGAGTCCCAGATCAAAGACAGGCAGGAAATGTAAATTCTTGTTCGATTCAGTGTTTCAGTGAATTGAGTGATACCCACCTACATTGGAGAGGGCAATCGGATTTACTTGGTCTGCTAATCAGAATGATCATCACATCCAGAAACTCTCACAGACACTCTAGGGTGTTTATCCGGGTATCTGGATGGCCCATGTCTAAGTCAAGTGGAGAGATTGAAATCTTTAGGAGAAATAAAGGGAGAAGAAGCATATAAAGGAGGCAGCAAGGCAATAGAATACTATGTGTGAGCTTAGACTGGAAGCTAACCCATAGAGAAAACAGAAAAAGGTAACAGACTATGGTCAGCACTAAAGAAGTGAATGAAAAATCATAAGAAGATACGACCAGTCTGAATTACATCACCAGGGAAGCATCAGGACTAGAGAGAGTAGGTGAAAGGAATCTTGCCCCAGCCAGACACGGGACTAAATCAGCCCCATAGGCCCACCTGTTGGGTATCTATGGCAGCGTTTCTCAGCTATAACCCCTGTGAGCCCCCAGGATATTCCAAGGGTATTTAGGTGAAAAATCACATAAACTGGCAACATCAAGACAATACTAGGGCATGCCCATGGGACAGGGGCCCCAGGAGGTAAGGTTCAAAGCAGGCAACGGTCAAGAAAAGGTTAAGAAATACTGATCTTGGGTATCTAGCTAATGCTGAAGGAAACAGGTAGATTCAATATCTAAGTAGATTGATTTTTTTTTATTTTTTTAAATTTTATTTATTGAATCACTGTGAGAGCTTGATACAAAGCTTTCGGGTTTAAGTCTTGGTCATACAATGAAATACCCATACCTTCAACAGTTCCCATTCTCCACCACCAAAAACCCCAGTATACCCCCATACCCACCCTCCCCCTACCTGTGGGGCAGATGATTTCCACATTACTCTCTCTTTCTCTACTTTGATTACATTCAATATTTTGACACCAGACCCACCATTATTATTTGGGATTTTACCCCAACACTCATATCTGCTGAAAAGGCAACACTAGACAATTTGTTTTCTATTGCTGGTTACGAATAACATATGGTGTCACATGGCTGCAATAGCAGCCACGTGATTTTGGAATTCCGAAGTTTTAACAATTAAATCTGGAGGGATTTCTGCCAAAACCTGCTGGGTTCTGAGATTTGTTCCTGAGTCTCTGGGATCATGACCATTTAGCAGCTTGATCATGAACCAGAGAGGCCATTCATGGGAGGCAACTCAGGGTCTCGTTGGAATGGGGAGGAAAGGGCCAGCTCCACCCCCATCCTGTGAGGCCCCACGTGTCTCATCACTGCAGGCCCAAACCTGACTGTCCAATGGCCTCTGGAGGATGGCGGCCACTGAGACACCAACAGGGAGCAGGCAGAGGGACAGCACCCTCTCCCCTCTGGGGTGGCCCGCAACAGTAACCTACCTACTGCGGGGTCCGGATGCATTTCTGCCAAAAGCCACTGGGTTTCAAGATTTGTTTCTGAGTCTCTGGTATCATGGCCGTTAAGCAGCTTAATCAGGAGCTATAGGGGCCATTTGTGGGTGGCGACTCGGGGTCTCGTTGGAAAAGGGAGGAAAGGGAAACGGGATGGCCTCACCCCCATCCCGTGAGGTCCCATGTGTCTTGTCACTGTGGCCCCAAACCTGACTGTCTAGTGGCCTCTGGAGGATGGTGGCCACTGGGCCACTAGGGGGAATAGGCCATGGCACAAAACCTATTCCCACCTAGGGTGGCCTGGCGCCAGTAATCTACTGTAGGAACCGGACGCATTTCTGCCAAAAAGCCGCTGGGTTTCGAGATTTGTTTCTGAGTTTCTGGGATCATGGCCGTTAAGCAGCTTGATCAGAAGCCAGAGAGGCCATGCCTCCAATTATATAGCCCAGCCGGAGGGGGTTTGTGAGTGTGTTTCCCACATACCTAACTTTTGGCCATTTACTTTCTTGGTATACTTTACCCCAGGTTTTTGGAGTCTGGCCAAAGGCACAGCAGCAATTTTGGGGTATCTGGAAGTCTGAAGGTGCCAATAAGTTGCTGATGCACTCGCCTCACAGGTACAGATTAACCTGCTGGCGGCACCATACCCCCAGATGTTTGGTGTTAAAATTATCTGAGATCCTGACAGATGTATTTAATTCATACAAATTAAGCAATTCATTTTACCTTTATCTCCCAAATAGTATTATTCATGTTTTCTGAAGGCCGGGACAGGATGGAAATTATTTTGGAGAAGACAGATTTGGTCATGACAAGTAGAGCAGAGGTTAAATGACAGAGCTTCACATAGCATGTTCAAGGTCCTACTTTTGATCCCTGACATCTTAAGGTTCCCTGAGCACTGTGGGGAGGGGTCCAAGCACTGTCAGGAGTGGCCCCTATAAAAAAATAGGGAAGGGTTATAGTATGGACTAGAGAGAATATAGCAGAGAGAAAGAGAGGGCGAGATGAACTATTAGATAATCCTAACTATGTTCTTGGAATGAATCCTCCCTTTACCCTCAATCTTGGTCATAACATTAAGATCAGGTGGTTCATTAACTAAGCAACTATAAAATAAATTCTTACTATAATTTATGGGTGCTGAGTATCTTTTATTTCATAATAAAATAGCTAATGTGTAGTATAGTATTGACTTTTCTTGTACTGATTGTGATTCAGTACTTTTCACACTGGGAAATGCCTTTTCTTTAAAACTAATCACTCTCCAGAGTTCGCAAGGTAGTAGATGGACCTGAAAACTAGAGTTGCTTCAATAAGGGCTTCTGTTTTTCTTTAGACGCAGAATAATGCAGGGCCATTGGGGAAAGTATGCAAAAGGGGGGTGTGTGTATGTGTCTGTCTGTCTGTCTGTCCGTCTGTTTTCCCTTAAAAGTATGCACTGGGGGTTGGGGCTGTGAGTTAAATGGCAGAGCTTCACCTAGCATGTTTAAGGTCCTACTTTTGATCCCTGGCATCTTGTGGATCCCTGAGCACTGCGGGGAGGGGTTCAAGTACTGTCAGGAGTGGCCCCTATAAAAAAAAATAGGGAAGGGTTAGAGTATGGGCCGGAGAGTGAATATAGCAAGTAGGGCACTTGCCTTGCATGCAGTTGACCCAGGTTGGATCATAGCGCATATGATCCCCGGGAGTGATCCCTGAGCACAGCAGGAAGTGGCCTAAAAACAAGCAAAAAAATAGTATATGAATAGTTTAAATCATGTTAAAAGTATAGGTTCCTAAAAGGAAGCATTTGGGGAAAAGTTCTCTGGGAAAAGAAACAAAGAAAATGCATATGCATCACCCAATCATTGTTGACCCTAATTTTACCTGTGGTGCTTCAAAATAAAAGTAAAAATACGTATTTTTTGGCCACTCAACACCTACT